CCAGAGCTTTGCTTGTACAGAAGGCCCATCTGACTGCCAATAGATCCAAGTGTCCAGGAGGACCAATGCATTGGTGTCCTTCACAAGTACCCCGGGGCATCCTGCCGATGGGGCAGAAGTGAGAATCTCCAACCTGGCATAAATCATTCATTCCCCTTACAGATGGGGAGACTGAGGCCCAGAAAAGATGAGTTTCTTGTACAAGATCATGTGACCCAAGTGAGCCAGAGCCTGAAGCTTGAGGCTTTGGAGCTCAGGGTCTCTTTTTTCCGCAGAGGTATTTGGTGTATATGTTCATTTTAATTCCTGCTACAAGGCTGAATTCTTTTATAAGTTCTAAAAATTTCAGTTGAATCTTTAGGGTCTTCTAAGTATAGGATCATGTCATCTGCAAACCAGGATAATTTTACTTCTTTCCTTTCTATTTGTATACCTTTTATTTTTTTCTTTTGCTTAATTGCTGTAGCTAAAATTTCAAGAACTATGTTGAACAAGAGTGGTGAGGGGGGACATCTTTGCATTGTTCTGAGGAGCCAGGTACTTGGGAGAAGCCACATAAATGGAGGGGGAGGAGCTGCCTCCTCTACTCAGTCGCTGAGCAGTTTGGCTTCAGGTCTCTGAGCTGTGGGGGCTGGACTGGCTTCTTTCAGAAGCTGCAAAGGCCAGGTCAGTGCTTAGCTTACAGGCATGTTGACTTCTTTCATAGTGCTGCCCTGGAGGGCAGTAAATCTCCTCGGCACAGAGGGAGGGCGAGAGTATCTCAGATGCCCTGGGCTGCTCATTCTCCCAGGGTTGGCCCAGCAACCTGACTGTCACAGCCCATGGTGAGTCAGCCTGGGTGGTCCTGGGATTGATGGAGGGCTGTCTCTGGGCTGGGATGTGAAGTGAGGTCCAGGTTAGGAAATAATTGGGCCAGAAGAGATGGGCTCATTTTGGGGGGTGGGCGCAAACACTGGGGGAAGGGGGTTCTTCTGACACAAGGTGGGGGGGGCTTGTGCTCAGAAAAGCAGGTCAGTGCTGTGACTCGTAAGACAGCGCCTGCCCACAGAGGGTGGTGTGGGGAAGGCACAAACAGGGATTCAGGTCCAGATGGGAACGAGTTGTGTGGCAGGAAGTCTTCAGGCCCCCACTGCATCCACCTGACTCTCTGGTAGCCCTGCTGTGTCTGAGAGCCTGAGGCAGACAGTGCATCTCCCGCAGCCCTGCCTTCCATCTGACAGACTCCTCTCCCAGGGGGACAGGCATCTGTGCTTTTCTTGGACATCAGCAGAACTGGCCTTGGCACCACTGCTCCCAGCTCGTCTCCGCATCCAAACCTCCTGATTGTCGGGGCCAGGTCTTCAGGTTCCCCATCCTCTGGCTCCAACTTAAACCGCCTCCTTTTCCTAGGCTTATGGGGGACACACAGCACCTACCCCATTTCCCCTCCACCCCCTTCAAAGTCTCCAGAGCAGTATATGAGCTGCCCCCAGCCCTTCCTTCTTCCTGTCCTGAGGCTCCCACCCAGGCAGGAGCTTCCTCTCTCCACCATCTGGAGCAGGAGAACAAGAAACGGGAGGGCTGCTTCTCACGAGTCCCACCTCCCTTTTTGGCAGGTAACAGGACAGCAGTATGGCTTTGGTGACAGATAGTTTGGCTTTGCTATCTGCTGCCAACATTTCCAAGCTGTGTGACCTTGAATAGGTAGCTTCACCCAGTCCCCCCACAAGGACTGAGAGTAATTCAGCTGTTTGCCTCCAGTGTGTGGGAGGCTGTGTTGGCGGGCACCTCGACCCACGGAGGATGCTCTGTCCACCTGCTGTTCTTGTCACTCTTCCCTCAAGGTCAGAGGACGTGGTAGTGTACGTTGGGGCAGAGAGTCACTGGTGGGGAAGCTCCAGGTAACATGAGCACCCATCCTCTGGTTACTGCCTTGGTGGGGCTGCCGCCCACACATACCCTCCGTGGCATGGTGGCCCACCTGCCCAGCCCATCTCTGCTGCTTTGCTGTCCCTTCCCAGACAGCCCCTGCTGGCTCGGTTGCTTAGTCAGTCTGTGTAACCAATCGATTTAATTAGTGAAAATGCCATCCCTCTGCCAGCCCCAGCCTCGCTAGTCCAACCCCAAATTCCAAGACTCCCACTTCCTCAGAGCTGCAGGGAGGAAGGTTTCAAATCAGATGAGTGGTGGATTTCTCATCTCTGTGCCTGGGTTCAGGCCTAATTAAGCGCCAGTGCCCCAGAGCGCTGTAGACAAAGGGCTCACAGAAGTCTGCCTGTGAAATAGGACTTGTGAGGATGCCCACAGGCCAGGCCCTAAGGAGAACGGCCCACAGAAGGACCATCAGGGGACAGAGCCCCAGTTGGGAGACCTGATTCATGTCTGGCTTGGTCCAGGGATGGCACAGAGCCCCAGCACTGCCTTGTACTCGGCCCTGCTTATCAGCACCCTCACACACGCTGTCTCCCCTTACCGGGCGGCCCTCCCCACTCTCCCCTTTTTGCACATGCTCTGTCCCCTTCTCCTCACTCTCTGAAGCAGGACTGTCTGGAGCACAGCCTTGGAGGACTCATCTTGGGGACACAAAAGGGACACTGGGCAGCCTAGGTTTGCAGATCAGTCTATCAGGGCTGGGGATTGGGAGGACCAGGGCTTCTGAAACTTTATGGTACTTAAGAGCCTTCTGGGCTTCTTGCTAAAGTGGAGATTCCAATTCTGTGACTCTGAAGTGAGCTTAAGACTTCTGCACATCCCTGGATGTGGAGGCTGCTTTGAGGAGCAGGAGGCTGGGATGTCTGCTGTTGGAGGGAAGGGAGCAGCTCAGGAAGCCCAGGGGAAGAGAAGCAACAGTATGGGTGAGCAGGGATGAGAAGTGGGACGATGCTGTGTCACTCAGAAGGAGCAGCAACCATCTCACTGCTGCCATCCTGGTGGGGCACTGGGCAGGTCTTACACCACTGCCACCTGAGACAAGGCGGTCTCTTGCGGTGTTGGGTTGGAACTGGATGGGCAGCAGTTATGCATTAGATGTGGTCGGGCACAGCATAGCACGCACAGCGTCTTTGCTCAGTGCTGCACTGCGCTGCGTTCCTCAGGGAATCTGGTCTCAGGTCTGCAAACTGGACCTGGACGGAGTGCCGGTCAAGCGCCGTGGGGTTGGCTTTGCCCATTTGTCCTTCAGGCATCCAGCTTCCTCCGCAGTTCTTGTTGGCTGCCTCTCAAGCAGTCACAGACTATCTCTGGGTGCCGCTGGGCCTCCTGTGGAGGGTCACTGGCTGTCCTTGGGGGAGTTTCTGGCTATCTTGTCTGGGTGTTATTGACCGCCTCTCAGGTATTGCTGACTTGTTCTTGGGCTGTTACCGGACACCTCCAAGGGTGTTATGTGTCCCTTAAGGCACTGCTGGGTCTCTAGGCAGCGCTGGCCAGATCTCTGCTTGTTAGTAGATATTTCTCAATGTTACTTGCTGTTCTGTTTGGGTATCACTGGTGACATTCTTCTCGGGATGTGTTGGTGACCAGTTTCGTGTGCTTTGTGCCACTGTAACAGAATACCTGAGAGTGGGGAATTTATAATGAACAATTTATTGACTCCTGATTCTGGAAGCTGAAAAATCCAAGATATGAAGCCTTTTTCCAGCATTGTTCCACAATGGAAGGGCAAGAGAAGGGCAAGAGGAAGCACGCGGATGTCCCTTGCTTTTTTTTTAATTTTTTATGTCTTCTTCCTTTTTATCGGTACCAGGGATCGAACTCATGACTGCCTGCTTATAAGGCAGGCGCTTATGCCGCTGAGCTAAATCCCCAGCCCCGTGCCTTGCTTTTATAAAGAACCCATTCCTGCAATAAGAAGCCTGCTCTTGAAGTAACATCATTAACCCCCTCCTGAGGACAAGGCCTTTATTTTCTCAACGGCCTTTTAAAGCCTACCTGACAGCACCCTACACTGGTTCACATCATAACAATGGACGACTCTCAGGGTGCCCCGAGCACTCTCTTGGGTTAAATTGCTTCTCTCTGGCTGTCTTCTCTGACTTTCTTTTTCTGATTGCGTCAGGGCAGTATGGCAAGTGAGAGACAGGGCTGGAACCCATCCAGGGCCCATAGCTCCTAAAGTCACCGTGCCACTGTCCCTCAGGCACTGTTTGACCCCATTCTCCCCTTTCAGATTCCTTGGAGAAAGGCCTCATTACCCCCACCCTCCCCGCAGAATTCCTCCAGGGACCTTGGGCCAGCACAGAGGAGCACTCCCCAGAGAATGCTTCTCTGTCCTCTCTGTCCCCCAAGAAATACGCAGTGGGTCAGGGTGCAAGGAGAAAGGGGACTTTAAAGCCAGCCAGCCCAGGTTCCAAGTGCTGACTGGCTGACTTGGGCTAATTATGCTGCCTGTTTAGTAGGTAAACAGGGACACAGTACCAAAGCCTCATTGTGAGACAGAAAAGCAAAGACCTCGGTGAGGGACCTAGCACAGAGCCCAGCTCTAGTAGGTGCTTCATTAATGACCTCTCCTAAGCCAATGACCCAGGCATACCTGCCCCAGACAGCAGGGGCTCCCCACACCTCAGCTCACTGGTCTCTCCTTGGTCTGTGGATCAAACTGGAGCCCACACCATTTTTGGCTCTGCAGATGTTGTTAGTACCCAGGGGCTTCTCAGCATTGATTTGTGGGAAATTTAATAAGAGGACATTAACTGCCAGCTCCAGACAGGCTTTGATGTGTGCATATCTTCTGCAGCTTCAGACTCAGCATCTGCCACGGAAGCTTAGAGACCCTCCGAGTCACACTGCTCCTTTCTCTCTCCCCCCTGTCTCTTTTTTTTTTTTTTTTTTTTTTGTCTTTTTCCTTTTCACTAGATCCAGCCCCTCTGAGCCTGGAGTGCTAATGTGATTTCCTGCCATGTTCCTAAAAGCCCAAAACCAGTTCAGAAGAGAGCTTTGTGGGGCCGTGGCATCTTTATCCCTTTGAAGGGGTGTGGTGGGGGAGGGGAGCACAGAGCGGGTCTGGCCCTGGGGGGCTGCCTGCTAGCTCTTCCCCCATGAGGTACATCTCTCTTCTGGTGTGTTTCGGAGCCTCAGTTTCCTCATCCAGAAGACAGGTGGAGCTGGACTTGGTGCCTTAGGATGGCTCATCAGGACTTCCATGGAATCTGACATTCTAGCAGAAAGTCTGTGGAGGGTTAGGAGCTCTGCGGGGGCTATGAAGGGTGGAAAGGGCTTCCTTCTCCAACTTGTAAATCACCAGGTTCAGCGTTGTCAACCACCAGTCCCACCCCAGGACCTGCAGAGGGGAAGGGGAGAGGGGTGCTAATAAGGATCCTTTCCCCAAGCCAGCAGCTTGCCTGTTTCCCTGTTTCTTTCCTTCCTCCATCATCTAATTGTGGATCCGAACTATGCTTTGGTTGTGGGTTTCCAGACCATGCCTTCCTAGAACATAGAAAAGGGTGGACGAGGACTTTGCTCAGTGATGGAAGACAGGAAATTTCAGAGAGCTGTGCACCTGGAACTGGCTGATCCCCCATGGGGTGGGAGACTTTAAAGCTAACCTTAGCCTTTTGCCAGGCTGTATGTACAGGTAAAAAGTGGTTCTGAAGTTGGGTGACCTTGAGTCAGTCAGCATACTTCTGGGTCTCTCCTTCTATGGGGTCTTGCTATGTAGTTCAGGCTGATCTTAAACTCATTACATAGCCAAGGCTGGCTTGAGTTTGTGGCAGTCCTCCTGCCTCAGCCTCCTGAGGAATTACAGGTGTGCACCGTCATCTCTGGCAGTGCCTCTTTTCTGCAAAATTAAGTTACAGATGCCCTTCTGGCTCTTTCCAGGGGGTCACGGTATAGATCTGAGAAGATAACACAACACACATGAAAACCTGTAAGAGGCTTTCTCACCCGTGGAGCTTTGGAGCTTTCAATTTGTGGAAAGAAGGGGACAGTACCTTCCAGCAGTACATTTCATTAAGACATAAAATTAGGAAACTGGAGAAGTTCAGTCACTTCAAGCAGACTCCCGGGCCGGGGAAGGAAAGGGCTCTGGGAAGCGAGTAAGGAGCTACAGAGATTTTTTGTGTGTCATTGCTAATGATCGTGATGTAGGTGCTGCTCCTCCCTCTCCTGGTGAATAGGAGCCAACTTCAGCTGCTAAGTCAGGGGGACTTCGGGGTAACCGAGAGAATGGGGACCCAATTCAGAATGGGTAGAGGAAAGAGGTCCTTCAGGCCTGGGGTCTCAAGGAGACCACTTGGTGTTGGGCTAATGTGAGAATGTGGGCCTCTCTGTGGGTTGGCATACACTCTGGCGCACCTGGGAGGGCGCCCTGTGGGATGTGGTAGACAGTTTTCACCTCGTTTGCCCAATAACATGGAGCAGTGAACAGAGCCTGGGATTGACAGTGCTGCTCAAGGCACACAGGGAGTCTGGGGGCAGGTAACCTGTCACTATCGCAGAGTGTCCCTGCTGTCCAGCGGGTGCAGGAGCCTCACTTCTGCCCCCTCTCTCCTGCCTCAGAAAAAGAGCAAAGTGCACTACCAGATCGCCGTCATCATCAACTACTTGGGCCACTGCATCTCCCTGGTGGCCCTCCTGGTGGCCTTCATCCTCTTTCTGCGGCTCAGGTGAGAAGGCCTTCGAATTGCCATCTGCTGCCTCTGTGCCCTCAAGCAGGGTAGAAAAGGGAGAGGTAGAGATGCCTCTGGAAAGGGGCTCCTGGGATGGGGCATCCTGCCCTCACCTCTGTGGAAACTCTGGCAGAGCCACTTCTGCTCCTGGCTCACCCACATCATCTACACTTAGACTGGTCTGTACTGCCATGCCAGGCTCTGCCCCTGGAACTTATGTATGGGTGCCCACAGGCAAGAAGAGCCCCATGAGCCATGCTGCCACCTTGCTGCCACCTCTGTGGCCTTACAGTCAGCCTCTCTTGCTCAGAACCTCAGTTTCCCCTTCCACATATTTGGACTGGTCTGTTGCCGGTAGTCTGTCCTTTATCCTCTCTCTCTTCTTGTTGCCCTGGCCACAAGGAGCATCCGGTGCCTGAGAAACATCATCCACTGGAACCTCATCTCAGCCTTCATCCTGCGCAATGCCACATGGTTTGTGGTCCAGCGCACCATGAGCCCCGAGGTCCACCAGAGCAACGTGGTACGTTCTGCCAGGGGGACGAGGAGGGGACTGAGCCCAAGGGCAGAGGAGGGCACAGGTCCTGCATAGGAGTCCCAGAACAGGAACAGGAACAGGGTCCCACTGTGGGGTGCTACACTTCTCCCCACACCCTGCTCATCATGATGTCTCGGGGCTGGGGGGTGCAGGGCTGGTGCAGGTTGGTGACAGCTGCCTACAATTACTTCCACGTGACCAACTTCTTCTGGATGTTCGGTGAGGGCTGCTACCTGCACACAGCCATAGTGCTCACCTACTCCACTGACCGGCTGCGCAAGTGGATGTTCATCTGCATTGGCTGGGGTAAGCCAGCTGGCTGCCAGCCTGCCCTCCCATCAGGGCAGGCCAGCCGGCTGGGGACTGGGGAATCAAGGTCTGCTGGGATGGTCCCTTCCTTGGGAGTGGGGCAGGGGATCCTGAAGGTTTGTGAGCTTAAGCTTAATCTCAACCCCTAGCAACCCCTCTAGGGAGGCCTGGGCTGCACTAGGTCCCTCCGGGACTCCCTGACCAGGAGCTTTGTGACAGCCCATCTCTCTCTCTCAGGTGTGCCTTTCCCCATCATTGTGGCTTGGGCCATTGGGAAGCTATACTACGACAATGAAAAGTAAGTTACCTCCTTCCCCTCCCAAGCCTCCTGGCCCAGACCCCCCAGCCCAGCTCTGCCTGGTGCTCCCTGAGAGCCTTGCACCATTCTGCACTTTTGTCAGGATTTGGGCTTCTGCATGTGCAAAGGCAGAGAGCTGGGGCTGGACTCAGCTTAGAGTCCACCAGTGCCCTGCCAAAGTGGGAACTAGACAATCAGGGTCCACTCTCCTTTGTTTCCCTTAAGGAGTGGAGACTGCACTCAGCCTGTCCAGATAGTCCTCTTGCAGTGGCTCCATGGCCTTAGGCTCATTCCTGTAGCATGCCTCTGTTTCCTCATCTGCAAAACAGATGTCCTGATGGCACCTATCTCGGAGGGTTGTGGTGGGGATGGCATGCATTAACACACATGAAGCACATACAGGAGTATCTGGTGTATGGAGAATGCTCATTGACATTAAGATTGTTTTAACAAGAAGCCTCCACAGTCATAGTAGAAACTGGTCCACCTGTCTCAGAGGCTCTTTATAGCTCTGAAGCCTGAGGTTCCCCAGTTACCCATGCCCTACACGAATCACCTAGGAAACTCTAAAAAGGCTGATGCCCAGGATTCACCCCAAACAGCTGGATGCTGTTTGGGTTATACCCTGGGCACTAAGAATTTTTTTTAACTGCCTAGTGTGTAGCTAAGATTGAGAACCTCAGAGCCAGACAAAAAAGAGCAACACAGCCAGCCAAGAGAGAAGCTAAGATCTTTGCCAGGGAAGTGTTCTTGGGACCAGCTGACTTGGGGACCAAGCATTTCCACCGTAGTTGCAGTGTCTTCTCTTCCCAGAGGAGAAACTGGAGCCTCGCTGGGCTCCACAGAACCCTGGAAGATTCTCTTCTGTGTCTTCAAAGGTTGCTCCTCCTGGCTCAGGCTGGGATGGTTGCACAGCTGATGAGGTGTGGCCTGGGTCCTAGAGCGGAAGCACTGGAACCCTGAGTGGGATGTGGGATGCTGCGTGTGTGTGTGTGTGTGTGTGTGTGTGTGTGTGTGTGTGTGTGTGTGTGAGATGGGAAAACGATGCGTGGGCTGGAGCAGAAAGTGGATCTGAGCGGCTCTGAAGCCCCACCTGGTGGTAAATGCAGAGACTGCAACCAAAAAGAAAGGACTGTAAGAAATTCACAGACCAGACCAGACCAGACCAGACCAGAGGATGGGGGACTGAACCTGGTCCGAAGGTGTTGTGATTGGCCTGAGTGGTATTTTTTGAAAACTTGATTCTGTAGCCAATCTTTAAAAAAAAAAAATCAAGAGATTTCACATAAAAATCTCACTTTCTGGTTTGTGAAGCATAATGAGATCTAGCTATTCAAGGACATAAGACTTCCAGTTGCTCTGTCCCCGCCCACCCTGGACCATGCAGGGGCAGCTCAGGACAATGGAAAGCATTTCTGCCTCTTGTAAAGGTGGCACCTGAGAGGTTCTCCGTTTTTAGGTCATTTAGGCTGCACTGTGATGGAGTCAGAGGATGCTACCGATCGGGTGCCCACTCCAGGCGCACCCCAGTGAGCATGCTCAGCCACAACCGCCAGGCCACAAGTGGAAACCGAGGAACCAGTGCTGTGCTGGGCCTCAGTCAGGCCCTGGGCCAGCTGTGGTCTTTTTCACAGCCCATCTCCCTGCCACAGCTTGCTTCCAACTTCACGTCTCAATAAGGATGCTGTCTGTGTTGCAGCTGGGATAATTGAGGCCCTGCAGGGGGATCGACTGACTTGAACTTCTCCAGGATTGGAATTGGGGTTCCCACATCATATCTGTCAGTCTCAGTCCTGCCTTAACCAAGCACTGCCCCTGCCCATGCCTCAGAAGACCTGGATGACCCCCCTCTCCCCTTCTTGCTCTGGTCTTGTAGGTGCTGGTTTGGCAAAAGGCCTGGAGTGTATACTGACTACATCTACCAGGGCCCCATGATCTTGGTCCTGCTGGTAAGAACCTCAGTGGGGGATGAGAGACAGGGCACAGTAGGGAGGGGCCACAGTATCTGGAGTGGACAGAGAGGACCCTCTGCCTAGAAGGGGGGACTGAAGGAGCGGGCCCAGGTCCAGTGTAGATGTACAGGAAGTGGATGGAGAGCAGTGGGGGACACCAGGGCTAGAACTGAGAAGGCGAGGGCTTGTCCTGTTCCCCAGCCCATACCCTGCACACATCCACACCCCTTCTCCCCGCCGGTATGCTCAAATTGCAGATCAACTTTATCTTCCTTTTCAACATCGTCCGCATCCTCATGACCAAACTCCGGGCATCCACCACATCTGAGACCATTCAGTACAGGTACCTGGCTCCCCACCTCCCCCACCGTGGGGCTTCTGTTCCTCCCCGGCCTGGCAGTACCTCCAGAGCCCACAGGTCTCCCCACCTTAGACGTGCCTGAGGCCTGCCCCTTGCCCCAGGCCCAGTCCTTGTTACCAGCCAGAGGCCCAACACCTTCTGGCTGGGCTCTGACCGGGGCTCTCTCATCTCCACCTCTAGGAAGGCTGTGAAGGCCACTCTGGTGCTGCTGCCTCTCCTGGGCATCACCTACATGCTGTTCTTTGTCAACCCTGGAGAGGATGAGGTCTCCCGGGTTGTCTTCATCTACTTCAATTCCCTCCTGGAATCCTTCCAGGTATGGCCTCCCTCCCTGCCTTGGTTGGACCTGGCTGCCCCCAGCTCTGTAGGGGCAGGTGTTACCTGCTTGGCTGGGGGTTCTCTCAGCAGAGAGCTAGAGGCCTGGGGGTGGGGGCAGACCAGGATCAGGGGGACCCTGCTTACACAGGCCTCTGATTGTCCCTCTCTCCTCTAGGGCTTCTTCGTGTCTGTGTTTTACTGTTTTCTCAACAGCGAGGTGAGGACCCGGTGGGGCTGGGCTTAGGATCTGGTGGCCATAGGATTGTTCCCATCCTGTACTTAGGACAGGCTTTGCTCCCTGTTCTTAAGTTTGTGTGGGATGCCACCAGGAAGTGCCAGTCCATCCCATTCTGCTCCTGGGATGGTAGCCCTTTCCTTCGCCCCAGAGGCAGCGGGCATGGGTGGCTGAAAGCCTGGGCTTTGGTCTTGCAAAAGAATCTGAAAACTGGGAAGGCTGAGCCCTGGGCAGTGCTTCCTGTGGGCTGAGGGTATGGAATCTGCATGCTCCAAACCAAACAAATGCAAACCAGCAACGTCAGCCTTGCAAAACATCACCATCTACTGTGGGCTTCTCTGCTCATGGCAGCTCAGGGGAGGGAGCGAGTTGCAAGCCTCTGCCCTGTGCCCACAGGTCCGTTCTGCTATCCGGAAGAGGTGGCACCGATGGCAAGACAAACACTCCATCCGTGCGCGGGTGGCCCGTGCCATGTCCATCCCCACCTCCCCGACCCGGGTCAGCTTCCACAGCATCAAGCAGTCTACAGCAGTCTGAGCCTCAGGCCACATGAAGCAGCTCCTGAGGTCTGTGGCTGTGAAGAATATGGCCAGGCTCACTGGCCATCTCGTGTGTGGAGGGAGCCAGCACCTTTTCCCCAGGAGCAGCAGCCCTGAAAGTCTGGGGGTCCCTACTGCCACACCAGCAGGACTTCTATGCTCATGATTGCACAGTAGCTTACAGGACTGGGCTTGGCCCACTGTCCTAGTCCTCTCTGGAGAACAGAAATGGGATGGAAGTGGAGAGCTGGACCGCCCGTAGCAACGCCTGGGCCCTCTCAGCTCTGCCTTTACAAAGCACAGGGATCTGGGATCCCCCTCAGCTGTAGGGAGGTGATTCACTGCCCCAGGGCCTCATGGAAAATTGGGGTTCCTTCCTGACTGTGACAGCGTTCATCCACCATGATGCCTCCTGGCCTTGGAGATGCCTTTGGGCGCCACTGAGAACCAAGGCCGTGTGGTTCAGGAGGGAGCCCTGGAAATGTCATTAGAAATCAGGTGACATCATCAGGTACTGGGCCACTCCCAAGTCATCGGAACAGCATTGGCCCTGTGGCACTGCCACTACAAATGCCCTGCCTTGCTGCCTCGCACCCTAGATGTTTACCACTCTGTAGGTTGCCCCAGCTTCCTCACCAACAGTACCCTCATCCAGAGTCCTGCCACCTCCTGCCTTTGGGTGTCTCCCCATCTGGGCACTGCAAGGGCACAAGAGTGTGCCTGGCCAGGCCAACTTCCCTTGAGGAGGATAAAGAACCTTTGGGACCTGAAACCTCTGGAGCAGGCTCTCAAGATGAGCAAAGGGAAAGGGCTCCTCTCTGCCCAAGTGCTCTGAACAGGACAAGGGGCTCCTGCAGCAACCAATTGGCACATTAACTTGCCCCTCTCCGGGTGTAGACTGGTCGGTCCTCACCGGGCCTGCCATTTCCAGAGGGTTGGGCTGACCGATGCACTTCAGGGGTGGGAAGTAGGAGATGAGAGCATCAGCTGTAAGGGGGAAGATGATGTAAATAATAATATTTATCTTCTCAACCAGCATTTGTGAAGGCCTGTACTCCACTGGGGAGCAGGAGAGGGTGGCTTGGAGGTGTGGGCATCTTTTCCAGCCTTCAGGAGCTGGAAAACCTGACATTACTCCCATTATCTTGGATGAGCCCCCACGGGCTGGTAGGAGGCACCGGGGGACTTGGAAGGAGATGGTCCAGCCAGGCTGGTTAGTAAAGGACAGCTCTTGGTAAAAGTCAGGGATAGAAAGGTTAATGCTGCAGGGAGGACTGCAGTGTCCGGGGGCAGCTAGAATAAACGTGGCGGTGGACCAAAGCAGGAGTGGGGCCTCACCCTGGGGAAGCCTCAAGCTGCAAGCTGAGGTGGCTGAGACGACCTGAGATGCTGTCCTTGGATGTCCCAGAAGCTGGCCGTGAGACCAGGTCTCTATGACAAGCTCGAGGGAAATGAGGACCAGGGAGGAAAAACCAGTGAGGCCAGGCAAGGAAGGCAGGTGAACGCCAGGTGGGTGCACCAGCATAGCGACAGGTAACTGGGGAAGGCGGGAGCAGAGTGGACCCTGCCCCTCCTCATCTGAGGCACATGTCCCACATCCACGCAGGTCACAGAACGCATCTGAGGCTCTCAGACCAGCGCTGTACAGTCAGTAGAAGCCAGTATGAGGTGTATTCTAAGGCCATCGGGTGAGTGAGACCCCAGACACTCACAAGGACCCCAATGACACCTGAGCCTTTCAGGACCTCTGCCCAGGTCCTGAAGACAGTTGTGCAGATGTACATGAGCATGGGTGCATGTACACACACACACACACACACACACACACACACACACACACACTTACATTCAAGGATGTGGTGCATCAGTACACTGAAACAAACCCAGATGACTGTCACGAACTCCACAGTGGCACAGCATCTGGAGATGATAAGGATGCCCTTGAGGGCCTCCTCAGGGTGCCCCACCCTGCCAGTTTCCAAGGTCTGTGTCCTTAAGTAGAGAGATGAGAGGGAGCTAGGGAATGCCAGGACTGGGATGGGTGGTGGCTTCTAGAGCAATTTGGAGTGGGGGTGCAGCTCTCTTTGCTGACAAGAGGGACCACAAGTGACTGATGTACAACAGCTGAGACAAGTCTCCACTCTGTTTCACACGCTGCAGGACAAATGAGGTGGGGTATTCCTGGACTATGGCTAGTGAAGTGCGTCTCAAGGAGGGATGCCCGGCGAGGAGCTGAGCTGTGCCCTGCTCCCTTCCTGTTGTGCCCCCTGGTTGGTGCAGCTGCTGGGCACCCTCTGGGTGCTGACTGTGTATTCAGCACAGTGCTGAGCCACGGGAGGAAAGAGGCTTCAGAGCCCCTGAGCCAGGAAGGGCAGAGCTGGCTGTCATCAGAGATGCTGGAGAGTGTCTCTGGGCAGCATTTCACCTCAGAGAGACTAAGGAGGATGGGCAGCTTGGGGACCACTCCAAAGCTCTGGAGCCCACAGTGGGGTTGTTCTGAGCTTTGGGGCAGGGACCGGGTAGCTCAGGCCCAGGCACCTGAGCCATTCGCCTTTGGGGTTGGGCTTTGGGTGGGGAAGGTCTCTGCGAGCCAAAGCGGGTATGAGACATGTCACTGCCCGTGGGCAAAGGCTGGGTGGCTCAGCTGTAGGGTGGGGGGTCACCAAGGTCCTCCAAGTTTCAGTCAAGCCTGTCCTTCAGGACCAGAAATATTTTCTCCATGCCATACCCAGAAGCCACCATCTCATAATAAAAATGCCTGCACCTGACCCATTTTTCCTTGAGAGTCTCCCCGTGGGCACAGAACAGTGATGGCAGAGTCACGCTGCTTTCCAGTTAGGCTCCTGTCCCTGAAGGACAGCAGAGCCACTTCCTGAGGTCCTTAGCTACCTTTCCAAGCCACTGTGCTTACGGTCAGCCACCTGACGCCAGGACTGGGAAACAGCCAGACCTTGGGAAGCCATGTATTAGGGGAGGTAGGGGGTTCTGAAGTCCAGATTATAATACTTAATTGGAGCCATCTGAAGATTGCTTTGCAATCCATGAAACTCTTTATGAATGTACTAGCTAATGCTCAACCAGCGCAGGGAGATAGGACCCAGAGCACACTGGAGCCAAGGACACAGGCTTAGCAGCTCCCCTGGGATAGAAGGCCTTTGGGCTGCAAGTCAAGGGTGCTTTCAGGGACCAACATCCTAGAACTTGGGTTGGGGTTGGGAGACTGGGACCAACAAAGCACCTCTAGGGGAAGGGGACAGTGAGAAGGTCTTTGGGTTTCGGATTGACCTGGAACATATCCCAGTTGAAGAGGGGACCCACGACGGTGGCGGGGCAGCTGCTGGGGCCAGCAGGGTGGTGGCGATGAGGTCACTATGTACCCAGGATCTCTTCTCCACGCTCTCCACTCTTCCACTTCTGAAGATGAAGCTGAGCTACAAACCATGCAACCCAGGCCACCTGAAGCCACAGTGGGCTTCCTTGCACCCCACCCAGGCTCTGTGTACCCTCTGCAAGGATGCCCTGGCCTTCAGTCCAGGGGCGTCTCAGCATCATCCCGTGCAGGCCCCCTGCCTTCAAACTTGACTGCTTCAGTCTGGACTGGCTGTTTTCTGAAGTTCCCCAGAAGCATCCTGATTGCTCCTCAGTGTTCCCTGGGAGCCAGGTCTCACGTATGAATCTCATCCACTCTTCACACTGCCCTGTGGAGCCGAGGCTATTATGGGAAGAGTGATGAGACTGTCTGAGGGCACCGGGTGGTGGCATGGCTGGACAGGAACCCAAAGTGGCCTCCACAAAAGCCCTGTGCAGCGGGACTCTGCAAGTGTTCTTCCCTGCCCCTCTATGCTCTTATAGTGCCCCATCCAAGAACATTCTCCAGGTTCTCAAATAGCCTTCAGACATGATCTAGCTGTATGAGCTGGAGCCTGGAGAGCACAAGCTGCAGGCTAGCTACATCCTGTGTCCCCAGCAATTTTCACTCTTACCTCAGAGCATTGCCTCCAGCCTCCCCCGGCCCACCATCCCCTGCAGGTTCCGCTGACAGCTCAGTGTCGAAAGAGGCTTGGTCATTATCTTTCTCAAAGCCTCAGTGTGTTGGAACACGGATGTGATAACCCCCACCTGTCCTTTCAAGGGGTTCTAAACAAAGCCCCTGCTGCCCAACCTCCTTGCTCACTGGGGAAGAGCAAGGGGGTCTCTGAGGTTCGTATAGGGTCTGGGGAAGACTGTGGGCACCCAGCCAGGGTAGGGGACAGAGGATTCTGCCTCTCTTCATTCCCAGGTTCAGGGACACAGGAAGCAGTTGGGAGGAGGGAGCTGAGGGTGACCTGGTCCCTTTCCAGGCCTGTGCATTTCCAGATCATGCAGCTGGAAGGGTTCAAGGCCCACAGGCCAGGGTAGGAGAGGAGGCTAGGAAGCTGGGCACCCTTCTTGCCTTCCTGCGTGACAGCCCTGGGCTGAGACCCACCACCCGGGGTCTGCTGGCCTCACTGCCCTCAGTGGATAGAGATAAATGCTTCAGGCGACACCTACTCCAAACAGGAAGCAGAGACTTTACCCCAAGAGCCCAGGTCCTAACTGGGGGGAACATTGAGTAGGGAGCAAAGCTGCCATGCAGTGGGGTGGCGGGGGCACAGTAAGGAAAGGGCCCATCTGGAGATTACAGGTGGTGACATCTGCAGAGTCTAGAAATCAAGTTACACAAAGCCACTAGTCACTCATGTAATGCATCAACCAGGGCACGGAGTGGCCATGCAGAAACACCATTTCAGCCCTTGATGGGCCGGCTGGCAAGGTCCCTGAAAATTTTCAGCAAGCTGGGTCCCAGGAAGAGGCATGGAGAGGGCAGGAGCCTTAGGAAAGTTCTGCAAAGCAGATCAGGGAGGAAGGACAGGAGTAAGATGGGTTAAGGACAGCAGTGTTTCCTAACTGGGGCATGTCCTGGACTGACAGCGTCCAAGGGATCCAAATGAACCTGTCCAGAAGATAGAGTTGCTGCAGGAGACTGGAGTGGGCCCTTAATTTTTTTTTATTGTGGTAAAATACACTTAATTTAAAACTTACCATTTCACCCATGTTGAAATGTATAATTTAATGACATCAAATGCATTAATAGCCCATAAATATATACAATTATTATATATTAATATATGCACCTATCACCACTGTCTGGCTCCAGAACATTTTCTTCACCCTGTATGGAAACCCTGTACCTAGCAAAGTAGTCACTTCCCACCTCTTGATCCCCTAACCCCCGGCACTCATTAACCTACATTCTAGAGATTTGCCGCATCCATATATTTCCAATAAGTGGAATAGATCATACAGTATTTGCTCTGCCTGGTTTTTTTTTTTTGTTTGTTTGTTTTCCTTACCATGGTGTTTTCAAGATCCCTCCACACTGTAAGATGTGTCAAATCATCGTGCCTTACAGCTGACTGATTTTATGGACCACATCTCACCCATCCATCCGCTGATGGCACTCGGGTTCCACCCATCTATGCAAATTATTGCAAATAGTGCTGTGACAAGGTTGTGCATAACTGTATCACTTCTTATGGGTGACACCTATAAGTGGGATTGTGGGTCCTGTGTTAACCCTGTGTCTAGCTGGCAGCTGCACCCTTTGCATCTCCACAGCTGGGCTTGTGGATTTGAACTTTCCACATCCTCACTTGCTCCTGTTTGTGGGTGACAGTCATCCCAGTGGGTGTTGGCCCTTGGTTTCTAAGAGACCCTGAGCTTCCTTCGTGGAAGTAGGGCCCTGAGTGAGCATCTGGGTCACTCATCCTGGGAGGGGGGCTCAGAAACACAACCCTCAGCAAGGGGCTGCCCACCTGGATGGCATCCAGACACTGGAACTCAGACAAGCGGATCCAGTGACCACAGGCTATCTGCGCGAACTGTGCCTCCTCACGCCCAGACACCACTTAACCAACAGATTCTATGTGTCCTCTCCGCACTCAGAATGCTCCCTGCCCACCTCTTCCCCCACCAGCCATCATCAGACAGTTGTATTGCCTCCCTAATGTGTTTCTGACAGTTCACTTGTCATTTTAATTACTGTTTATAATCTAATTAAATGTTATATTAGTGGATAAATCAAAAGTACACCAACAAAGAGAAATGTTTCTTACAAAAATTTGGATGAATACTTAAAAAAATACAACACAAATAAATCTCGGAGAAGGCAGTTGTCCAATTAGGTGTTGTCAAGGCAAATATTAGTAATTAGGGAGAGGGAATTACCCCGTCCAATGGGGCTGCTGGCTAATTTGTAAGTTCCCTTACACTCACACCGTCTCCTTCAAAGAGTCCAGAGCTGGGTGTCACAGTGCGGCGTTCATCATTTTTTTGTGGAATCCCAAGGAAAGTGACCCAAAATTGAAAACTGGGGGTGGAGCTCAGTTTACCTAGCACATGAGGAGCTCTGGGTTCAATCCCCAGCACTGAAAAATAAGAAAAAAAAAAAGGAAAAGGTGCCTTACATAACAGGAGAGGCCTTAAGGAAGATGGGCGACTATTCTTGTTCTTTGAGAATTAAAATAGCGTGTGTTATGGATTGAATTTTGTCTCCCAAAAGATACGTAGCCCTAACTCCCATTACCTGTGAATGTGGCCTCATTTGGAAATGGGGTCTTTGCAGGTGGAATCAAGTTAAGATGAGGCCGTCAGGGTGAAGCCTAAGTGAAACCGACTGGTGCCCTTATCAGAAAAAGAGGAGAGACACAAAGACAGGGAGAAGGCCACGTGTCACAGGCGAGGTGTGAGTGACACTGCTGCAAGCCAAGGAGGCAGGAAGACTGTCAGCCACCACCAGGACGGGAATGCCAAATGATTCTATCCGGTTCTCAAAGAGAGCGAGCCCCTGCTGACACCTTGGTTTTGGACTTTGCGTTGGATAAATGCATAGACCGGATGACTTGAACAATAGACTTTTAGTTCTCAGGGAATGAAAAGACTGCGATCAGGGTGGTGGGGGGTTCAGTTCCTAGAGTGGCCTCAGATCCTGGCTTACAAAGAGGCTCCAACAAGGAGAAATATTTCTTACAAACATTCAGTTGAATATTTTGAAGGTTGCCTCCCGAGGCTGAGAGCTCACCTCTCTTGTCCTGCTAGAAGGTTGCCTACCATGGGGAGGGCTCCACCCTCCTGATTTAACTATTTTCCAAGGCTCCACCGCAAATGCCATTACTCTAGGGAGGAGACTCCACACACAAATTTCAAGGGGGACATCAACATTCAGCACAGGGCAGACCATGGCCTTCTAGTTGAGTGAGAGAATAAATTTCCGTTGTTTTCAGCCATCTGGTTTGTGGCAGCCTCAGGCAATCCAAGAAACTAATGTATAGGACATTTTAATGATTCCCAGCCCCTTCCTTTCTCTCCCTGTGCAACTTGCATCCTTTCTCTTCTTCTGATCACCAGCTGGGATATCTTAGGGTTCACCTTGTTGAACCCAAGGGTGCTCTGTCACTCAGCTACAACCTCAACTCTATTTTATTTGTATCTTGAGATAGGGCCTCCCTAAGTTACCCACGCTGGTCTCATGCTAGCCAGCTGCCAGCCTCAGCCTCAAATAGCTCGAATTATAAGCATCACCGTCATGTCCAACAGTGACCACTGAAGCCGTCTCCCACCCAGTCCAGGTCATCGCGTCCACACCATCCCGAGTCAGCACCCTGGCAGAGTGACAAACTATAAACTGAAATCTCTACCACCCAGTAGCTGGGATTTGAAACTGGTTTCTATCACTAAAATGTCACCTTGGAAAAGCCCCTTAGCGGCTGCTATGGTTTATAACGAGCTATCTCCCGAAGTCCCACGCGATAGGAGGTGGGGTTTGGGAAATGCGATCGGATCCGGGAGCGCTCTAGCTGGTTTGGTGTGAGGTGGTGGGCAGTGACTGGGCTGGTGCCCCCTGGCCCTGCCCTTCTCAATCTGTTTCACCTCCACCAGGATGCAAGCAGTTTCTCCTCTTCTATGTCCCTCAGCCCTGCCTGCCGTCCATCCTTAAACCAACAAGCCATGGGCTGGAACGTGAGCCAAACCTCTCCGCTTTAGATTGCAGTGCTGAGTAATGTCCTTTCCCAATGATAAGAAAGTGACTAAGACAACTCTTGCACCTCAGTCCTCCCAAATATAAATCGGATCGCTCTCTCACATCCCACGTTTTATGGGCATTGCTTTCTATTCCACCAGCCAAGACCAGCAAGTAGGACAGACAAGTTCTGTCCTTACAGAGCTTATGCCCAACCAGTGCAGGTCAGCGAACCCGAGAGGGAAACACGTAAGCAAGCAAAAACCAAAGACTGGGACAAGTGCTGTGAAGGAAGAAAGACCTGGTCAGATGTGGGGTTGCACACCTGTCATCCCAGCACTCTGGGCGGCTGAGGCAGGAGGATCAAAAGGTAGAACCCAGCCACGGCAACATAGGAACTTAGCAAGACCCTGTCTCAGAAATGAAAGTGTAAAAGGGCTGGGGATGGAGTTCAGTGTGAAGATGCTGGGTTCAATCCCAGTACAGAAAGGGAGAGAAGCGGGTGGTGAAAGCCCCAGTTGCAATAGTGACCTCGCCAACTCAGGAGGTGGCCAGGCTTTTCCGGAAGTAGCCATGGAGATGAGGTTACATACAAGGCCCAGATGACCCGAGAGCTGCCTACACCATCAGGAGGCCTTGCAGCACAGGACAAGCAGCTAGGTCAGGAGGCCTCAGCTGGGGCTGGGTACTGAGTTGAGGGTGAGTGTGGGGCTCTGCAGATGAAGGTAGGAACCTGTGCTGAGATCTCTGGCTGGGCCACATCACTACCATGAGCCCTGGGCCAGAGCCCAGACTCAGAAACAGAGTCCCTGTGCACTGTGGAACGCTGAGGGTATTAGGGTGAGATGTGGAGGCAGGTAGCAGAGCTCACCTCCTGTGGGGGAGGGGATTGTCACAGCATCAAAGGGAAAGGGAGCTGAATGCCAACCAGTGAGTGACAGGGAGAGCACAGGAGCATCAGAACCAGAGAGTTTGCTTCATCTTCCATTTCCCTCTTTTTTTGTTCCAGGGTCCATTCTTAGCTGGGCCACTTTGTGCTTCTCTCAGCCTCAGTTTTACACATCTAGGACATGGGTATATTAGGGAGAGATTAAGCTGCCACAGCAAGCTGAAGTCTTGCAAAGGATCACGTCTTTCTCTGATAATGGTCCTCAGTGAGTATCCCAGGTGACTGTCTCATGCAGGCCCAGGAACTGGGTCCCTTCCCTTTCTCCCCACTCCTCAGGACATTGTCCTCCTCCTTATAATCAAAGCCAGGCACCAACCTATCCTAGTTCTGACCCATGAGAAGGGAGAGAAAATTTATACCAGGAGTGCCATACTTTTCCAGCTGAGGCCCCCACGAGGCTTACATCATTTCTGCTCAATTTCTAACAGCAGAAACTTGGTTCCATGGCCAACACTAACCCCAAAGAGGCTGCAGATGACTTTTAGCTATGTTCCTGGTAGAGAGGGGGACCAATTTTGAAGGAGAGCTTGCAGCCCAGAGAGGAAAGGTGACTTTCCTGGGTCACCCAGTGGGTAAGGGGCAAAGTTAATCCAGAATCCTAGCTGGCATCCTCAACCCCATCTGCCCACCTCTCATTTCAAATCACCTGGTCCGATGCCCACTGAGGCATCTGCCTGGGCAGAGAGGACCCAGATTACCTCTCTACCTGGGCCAGGGTTGAGGAACTTAGAGGAAGCCTGTGCCCCGCAGTAGTGCCCTTGGCTGGGGACAACACAGCTTTATGACTAAGTAGGTGTGGCCCTGGTTTCCGGGATGGGTGCACAAACTGCTCTGTGACAGAAGGCCACACCCACCCCCAGGGAAGAGAGTTGGGCTGTGTGGGCAGTGAGCCCTGAGGTGACACAGCAGGCAGCCGAGGGGAATGGCGTGCTTGAGTTTCCTCCTCCCTGTGGTCTTTCTCCTCCTCCTTGTCAGTATCATGGCCCAGGGAGAGAATGGTGTGGTCCACGTGGTGTCAGAGACCTGGAGCAAAGACTACTGCATCCTCTTCAGCTCTGACTATGTCACCCTGCCCCGGGACCTGCACCACGCCCCACTCCTGCCCCTGCATGATGGCACCAAGGCATCCTGGTGCCCAGACAGGGACCCCTTCCACCAGGCCTGGTCCAGCTCCTCCAAGCCACAGTCCCTTCGCCGCACCACCGCCATGGCCATGAGAGGCAACTGCAGCTTCCACGCCAAGGGCTGGCTGGCTCAGAGCCACGGAGCCCACGGGCTGCTCATTGTGAGCCGGGTCAGTGACCAACAGTGTTCAGACATCACCTCGGTGTCCCAGGACCCCCGCCAGCCTCTGCCAGACCTCACCATCCCTGTGGCTGTGCTACGCTACCCAGACATGCTGGACATCCTCAGGCACACGCACGGAGCCGCCACTGTCCGCGTGGCCATGTATGTGCCCCCAGAGCCCATCATTGACTACAACCTGGTGGTCATCTTCATCCTGGCTGTAGGCACCGTGGCCGTGGGTGGCTACTGGGCTGGCCTCATGGAGGCTGCCTGGCTGCAGCGGCACCAGGCCCGAGGAGGAGGAGGAGGGGGGCCGGATGGCCACCTTCAGCCACAGGCAGTAGGAGTTCGTGAGGATGAAGATGACGAGGACTCTGCAGTCAACTTCACACTGGCCATTGCGGGTGCCGTGATCACCATGTCCTGCTTCATCGTGATTCTGCTCTATTTCTTCTACGACTACTTTGTCTATGTCATGATCGGGCTCTTCGGCATGGGAGCTAGCACCGGTCTCTACAGCTGCCTGGTGCCCTTCACGAACCACCTGCCACTGCAGCAATACCAGTGGTCCCTCCCTGGCTGCCAGTCCTATCTGCAGCTGCCCCAGCTGCTGCTGGCAGGCCTGTGCAGCCTGGTGACCCTCTTCTGGGTCACCTACCGCAATGAGGACCACTGGGCATGGCTTCTGCAGGACATGCTGGGTGTGGCTTACTGCCTCTTTGTCCTACGGCGAGTGCGGCTGCCCACACTCAAGAACTGCACCTGCTTCCTGCTGATCCTTCTGGCCTTCGATGTCTTCTTGGTCTTCATCACACCGATCTTCACCAAGACTGGAGAGAGCATCATGCTGGAGATTGCCTCGGGCCCAGCAGATTCTTCAAGCCATGAGAGGCTTCCCATGGTGCTCAAAGTGCCCCAGCTGCGCGCCTCAGCCCTGACGCCATGCGACCAGCCCTTCTCCATCCTTGGCTTTGGCGATATTGTGGTTCCTGGCTTCCTAGTTGCCTACTGTCACCGCTTTGATGTGCACACTCACTCGCACCAGGTCTACTTCGTGGCATGCACCATAGCCTATGCCATGGGCCTGATGGTCACCTTCTTGGCCATGGTTCTAATGGAGATGGGCCAGCCTGCCCTGCTCTACTTAGTGTCCAGCACCCTGCTCACCAGCCTGGCTGTGGCCGCCTGCCGCCAAGAGCTCGCTCTCTTCTGGACCGGCCAGAGCAGAGCTCAGCCTGTGGCAGGGCTCTCTGTTGTCCCTGAGGGTTGCTCCAAACAAGGACAGGAGAGCATAGCAGAGGACCAGACAGCTAGTAAGTTGAAGGGAGCCACTGACCAAGGGACAGGGGACTTAGACAGCAACTCTGGGGAAGACACAGCTGACGTGATCACCATATCTGAGGATGAAGCCACCGGTCAAGAGGGCCACAGTGAGAACTCTGGGGCCTGCAGTGATGCCAGCTTAGACCCCGATGACCTGCCCCCTGCCTCTTCCAGGGCTGCAGAAGACCTGAGGCCACTGATGCCGGTGGCCATATTGATCCCACTGATCGCACTGATGCCACCACCCTCAGAGCTGGGCCGCATTCACGCACAGACCTCAGCCCAGGATGCCAGCCTGCCCTGCCCAGGGCTCCATGGGAGGAAGGGCTTGAAAGTAAAGAAGAGCATGTCAACGTAAGCTCCCTGTGAGCTAGAGCCCCTGGGACCTATGCCTCTGACAGGGCTGGCAGAACACTACAGAGCAAAGCCATATGTGTGAAAAGTGTGGTGCATTAGAGAGAATCCACAGCCAGAGAGGAGCCTCTTTGCTTATTAGGATTTTAAGAGGGCAGCAAACACAGAATAAGTCTGTGCAAAGCTAGGCAGGTCACTGAGAATTTGTACCATGCTGCAGAGGAAAGACAGACTCAGAGAAGGCTGTGACTTGTACCAGTTTGCTGTGCAAACTGGTACAGGACTCACTGCAAGAGCACAATGGACAGCTACTTCCCCTGTCCCTACTTGCCCAGCCCCTCAAGCCAGAGCCCAGATCTTTAGTCAGCCTCTAATCCATCCCTGATGCCACTCCTGGCCTTGTTGTCCATCCTTTCCTTGCACTCAGGCCAGCAGGATCATTGCTACTTCTGGATATTTTCCAGGTTCTCTCTGTCTCTGTCTCTGTCTCTGTCTCTGTCTCTCTCTCCCTCCCTCTGACTGGGATGACGCCCTTCCCATCCCAGACACAGTTCCTAGCTCACTAGAAAATCCCTAAGCACGCTTCGAGCCTCAGCAGCATCCCTCACTGAACCTCTCTGCTCAAGGCACACAAAACACCACCAAGCCCAGCACATTCCCACCTTCAGCCACCTGTTGCCATGTAGTCACCGACATTGAATATGGCCCGGCTGTGTGCGCCCCCTTGTGGGCATAGGAGGGATCCCTGTCTGTCTAGAGGAAGGGCAGGTGTGGACGACAGGTAAGAATTACTCCGAGAATTGTCTTAAAGCGGGCGTGGGGGTACTGCAGAGCTTGGGGCTGGGGGAGAGAGAACAGGAGACCACAGGCATAGTTCCCATGCCTGGCTCACTGACTGCGGTAACAGAAACCTCTTTTCAGGTTTCATCTGCAAAATGAGACTTAAAATACCACGAGGCGGAAATGACCTGTTTAGGTCCTGGCTTTCAGGTCACACACTGTGTTTAGATGCGCAGCAAAGTGGGGTGAACGAAGACTTCCTGAAGGAGGTCCTGTTGGAGGAGGGAGAAAACTGCACCCCAAGAGACAAAATGTCCTGCTGGTTAGGGGTCTGGAGCCGGCTCCTCGTCAGAAATCCCAGCTCCTGCACTGATTTAGATATTGAGCGAGTGGCTTAATCTCTAGCTGCCTTGATTTGCTTATCTCGGGGACCCACTTTGGGGTGGTTCTGGGTAAATCTGAACGAAGTGGCTACACCAGGTAACTGACACAGTGCCCTGAGGGTAGGAATTGCTGAACCGAATGTTAACTAGGTTTATTTTTCTCCCCTTTGCACAACCTAGCAGAATCAAATTCAACTCCTACAAGGTCTTGGGGTGCCATCTGGCCTGGGCCCCCTCCCTCAGACCCCTTTCCGGCACAAGTGCTCACAGATCCCAACTCACTCACTTCCCCACCACAGGTGAAGGCCCCTCCTCTACTTGGAACATTCTCCCCCCAGCCCCACAATATACCCCCAGAATTTGGAGTGCCTTCCCCTCCTCCCACCAGGGCAGACGTTCTGTCCTCGGGGAGCCCTCCCTGCGGACCCTTCCTGAAGTACCTTGGCCTCAGCCACGTCACTGTGTACCTTGCCCCTTGGTTTCTTGTCCATCCCAGGAGGATTCAGCTCTGTAGGGGTAGAGGCCTCATCGCTGTTGTTCATCTGTGGAGTTTCAAGGAGGAAGATGTTGGGCCCTGGTATGTCCTAGGTTCTGTGGTTTAGACTTGTTGGAGGACTGAATGAGAAGCTGACCATCCTGCATTAGAGAGGGACACATGAGGGAAACCCTGGCTCTTTAGACAGTCTGACTGGAGTCCCACAAGGACTAAGGTCAGAGTAGAGGTGAGACCCTGGGAGTCTGCTTAGGCCCGGGGCAGGAGTGCAGGAAAGTGGGCCCCTTGAGGCCTCACTCCATGGAAGAAGGCCAGTCCTCAGCTCATAGCAGCTGAAGGCCCAGCTCCACGAGAAATGGTAAGGCTCTGAGGCCAGGACACTGACTGGAGGTGATGACAGTCCCTCCCACTGGAGCCAACTGGCCATCTGGCCTGGACAGCGGGCCACCACAGGCCCTGGCTCACCCCCAGCCCAGGCAGCCTCCCCATGGCTGACCTGCGTCAAGGCTGACCTGTGCCAGGCTACACCCCCGCCAGGCCCAAGGGGAAGTGCTGGACAGAGTCCAGTCCCCTACCCCAGAGGTCTGGTAATGAGTATGCAGCCTGGAGGAACTCTCTCCTGGACACGTGAAGTCAGGTGGCTCTGAGGATACCAGCCAGAGCTCCCTGTGATACAGCCAATACCAGCCCCCAAGGAGAGGAGTCTCAGGAAGGGCCTGGTGAGGGAGATCTCCCCTTCTCTTTTCACTTGGGGGCCTAACAGGGAAGTCAAGGCTGGGGGCCCTGGACTTCTGTGGTAACCCCTCCCCAAGAGCTTAGTACGTGGTGGTCAGACAGCAGGACTGAGCCGCTTACAGGAGTCCTAATTCCTGGCCTCAGGTGGATGATAACAGCAGCATGGTGAGTATTAGGGCCTCAGACTGTCTCGGGTGGCCTAAGCTCTACTCCTTACTGGGACATCATCCTGGCTGCCCAAGGAGATACGCAAGGCCTTTCTCTTCCCCACCTCGGACACTCAGCAGCAGTTCTTCCCATTTCACAGATAGGTATGGGCAAGGAATTTAGGTCAAACTAGCAGCCTGAGATGTTCAGCCCCAAGTGCCCAGCACAACTTCATGTCAGGTCGGGAGAGGGTGGATTGCAACTTCTGACATGGCAGATTCTTGGCTCTAACCCACAGTCAGGTCTGTAGTGGAACCAGGCACCTCTGTGTTTGAAGGTCTTATTTTCTCACCCCAAGCTGAACACCTCAGGGTCTGGCTTTGGTGTCTCGTCTTAGCTGGGCCAAATGCTGAGGAAAAGGGACTAATATACTGGCCTGGGTTAGCCATTCCCTCTCACCCTGCTAGCCACATCCAGTTGGGGACCACCTAATACCTCCTCCTCCCATGGACCCCCAGGCCTGGCCTCTACTGCACTCCTCTGGCCAATCCCAGCCTAGCCAAGAGTGAGTCAACATCACCAGCTCAACAACCAACTTCACCCTTTCCTGCATTCTAGAATATTCTGACCTTGAGGTAAACGCTGTCCTTTTTTTTTTTTTTTTAATCATCCTCCACTGGGCCTGACATATGATGTGCTCAATTAAACATCCACGGGATAAATGAATGTTCCCTGTGTAACTCTGAAGGCTCAACAAGTCCAGCTCCACGAGAAAGGGTAAGGCACTCAGGCCTGGACACTGACCGGAGGGAACATGCAATGGGTGTCACCACACTGCCTACCTACCCCAGGGTGGGAGTTAATATTGAGTCCTGCTGCTCTCAGTGGCCTGGAGTCATTTGCTCCTGCCCAGAGGAGGTCTTTTAACTGTGCTCTCTGCTTCACTCCGCTGAGGCACCCAGAGCTGGCAGCTCCCCCCTGAATGCTAGGGCACAAGATGCATGAGCAGGCACACACGTGTCCACACACACACACTCCAGTGTACATATGAATACGCATGTGCATACACAGGCACACACCCATACTGCGCACTCACATGCGCACACACACCTGAGCTCTGACCTTTCCCCTCTGGTCCAGCCCTTCCCCACCAGGTCTTCCCTGGGCCCTCGGGAGCAGGGGGTCAAAGTCCTTGCCCCAAGCTCACCCTTTGCCTGGTGAGCAGACAAAGCTCAGGTGTCACTTCAGGAGAGGATTCACTGTCCAGCTGCTTGGGGAATTCGGTGAGCTGACAGCTTCTTTCAGGGTTCCCTTCTGTCTTCTAGCTTGTTCACACTTTGGGGGTCAGGGGCATGGGGAGGCCCCACTAAAAGGCTGCGCAACAGTGGTACTAGGGCCTGGCCACGTCCACCCAGCACGGCTTCTCTAACAGGTGGCCTTTGCTTGCACCCCTCAAGGCTGGCAGAGCCTGTGCCCTGGACCATTGCCACCCTGCTGTAGTCTGCTCCCCTCCAATCCATCTCAGCCTCTGCTTCCTGGAGGGCCAGTCTGTGACAGGTGACACCTAAGGTGGGGCCAGGGCAAAATAGACGCCCCGAGACCATACCAAGAGCTCCAGGTGGTCCAGACCAGCTCTGCGGCTGCATTTCACTCAGGCCCCTAGCATTTCTCCTTACAACCTCATCTAATCCCAGCAAGAACACCATGGGTCTTAAGCTCATTTTTTTCAGCTAGTGAAATTGTTTGATGCTAGGGCTTCTGGATTCCCTAGGCAGTGAGAAGCAGTAAGGGCTCGTGGAATGACATCTAATCCAGAAAAGAAAAAGCCCAGAGAGGGTCAGAGTTTTCCCAAAGCCACACTGCAATAAACAGAAACGGAACAGATCTTTGGTCTTCTACTCTCAGTCCAGCAGGTTGGACCAGATCTGACCCTCAGCCTACCCTCTATTTATACTCCTCTGAAAACTCTGGTTCCACCCTCTCCCACCCCATTCCCTCAGTGAGTTTAGCTCCCATCTCCACTGAGAAGTATCCACATTGCTTGATAATGAAGGTGTGTGTGTCAGCATCAAGCACCTCCCCAGCTAAGGAAGGAGAGACAGCTGGATTCTGAATCCCCAAGACCTGGGCTCAAAACACAGAATCACTCATTTGCCACGTGATACCAACAAGTTCAACCATTCATCAGTACCTCAGTTTCCTCCCCTGTAAAATGGGCTGCTAAGACTTACCTTAGGGTTTGTTGCAAGGATTAAATGAGTATGAAAGGATTAGATGTGTATCACCAGCTGCACTTTGCTAAGCACTCAGAACAGCTGCAAACACACATTAACACATTACATTGTGTCCTAGCTTAGCACAAAAATTCCTAGAACAGCACCTGCCATTCCCTAGGGACACCTTCCCTGACAGAGTCCTTAGAGAAGCAGGTGTCCTTTACCTTTGGTCTCCCCTGCCCGTGCCCAGTGAGGTGTGGAGGGTGGGTGTAAGGTGATGAGCAGGGGACCATGGCAGAACCAGGAAGCAAGGACCCTGTGAGTTTACCTGACCCACCCAAAGTTTACACCTT